GGTGAAAGATCTCATATTGAGTTATATAGTTCTGAAATGAATCTAACTTTTAGTTTTTGGCATTATCACTCCTCAATACATGTAAAGAAATATTGAATTATGTTTTGACTTCAGCACAGAAAGCACAAAAGTGGAAAAATATTTCCGAGTGATTCTTTATAAAATATAACCAAATTATGCGAGAAAAATCATCTACAAATGTAACGAAATACTTGAACCCAGTTTTGCACGGAACAGGGCAGGAGTATCAAACATTAGAATAAACTAACTCAAAAGCAGACTCAACTCATCTATTAACCCTTGGATTTGATGGACTATGGTAATGTTTTGCAAACGGACATGATTCACAATCCAGTGAAGATACATCATGAAACTAAAGACATAACTTCTTTAACACAGGTAGAGATAGAGTCCCAATTGACAATGTATTTCCAATGAAGAGATAATATTAGAGCAGACAATTGATCGAGGTACTCAAGTATCAAGAATGTAAAGACCATCTGATATATTTTCTTTACCAATAATCTACCTCGTCAAAAAATCTTGAAAAGCACAGTGATCTGGAAAAAATATAATATAACAATTCAAATATTTAGTAAATTTACTCACATAAATCAGATTGAAGGTAAGTTTAGGTAGACTTAATACAGATGATAAAGCAATAGATGACGTTAGTTTTGTGGTCCCTGAACCCACAATATTATATGTCGATCCATTAATAATAGTTACAGGAAAATGTGTTTTGTGTGGTCGAAAACTAAATAAAATATTAGGATTACCTGTCATGTGATCTGTAGCATCAGAATCAATTACCCATCTATTTGAGGAAGAGATAAAACATTTTTTATTTGATTCAGTAAGAGCAGAAAATTTATTCAAAGATTCCTGATAGTTAATAAATTTAGCATACTGATAAACTGAAATCATAACATTCTCAGAATATGAGTTACTAGTAGTAGCAACAATATTAGCGGTCTGTGTCCTCCGATTGCGACTCTGTAATTTCTTATAATACCACTTTATATACTCTTATTCATGGCAGTAATAGTAGACAATATTCTCATCCATTTCAATTCAGGAATTACAAAAAAATACCACTAAGAATATGCAAAACACAATAGTCAGAGATACCCGGAAAATACTGCAAATATATCAGAAAATTTGATAAAACAGAGTATCTCTTTAGGCATGGGTATCAACAACTCTACTAGGACCTCACTGTCAACCACTGGAGGACCTGCGCTGCCGCACATGACGCGTTGCTACCGGAGTTACACACGCCGCCACCTGAAACCATCAAACAACCTCTTTTCAGCCGAAAATCACCACATAATTTCAATGTCGGCCCTAATTTGGAATAGCGCTGCGCTCGCAAGAACGCCCCAAATCGTTCCGGAGAGTAGAGAATCGCTTGCTGTTGCGCGATCTGCTCCACTTTGCCTTTTCCCTCTTTGGCCTTCTAGTTCCATGCACAGAACC